AGCCGAAAATTGTTGATTGCAGTCCTCATAATTTGAGCATTAAGCATTGGGCAGGACATCCAGGGAACCTCAATAAGTCTTGTTTAATTCTGGCAGTTTTCTCTATATATTTAGACAGGTTTTTTGAGTATAAACACAAACTCCCAAAAAATTGGTGAGTGTTTTTTTTTTAAATTCTCCTTCGTTTATAAATTGATTGTAATCATTTATTTTTTTTAATATACAGTCCACAAAATTTTTTTTAAATTTTACCAAATTCCCGGTGGTAAATTTTTTTTGTAATTAATATAGGTCTAGACAACTTTTGGAGAGAAAATGATAGGTACGAAGGAGGAATTTTTTTTTCACCTTTTGGGCTAAATTCCTACTTGTCTCTGTAACTTTGATAATTATTTTTTTCTTTGTTTCCATTTTCTGGTATGTATCTAATGGAAAAAATCCAGGTAAATTTAATTTTCCCACTGGCAAATGAGTCTTTTAAACCACTGGGTAGCTGGTTCTAATATTTTCATGCAGAGGGATTTTCATCTTTTTTATACCCAGTGGATGAACTTATTAGACGGCGGTCAATGGTTTAAAACACTGGCCGCGAGTTTTAGGATTCACTCGCCAGGGTTCATTTCATCCGTTCCCTGATTTTTTTGCAATCGTGTTTTTTCGATTTGTGAACCAGAAAAAATTTATCACCTCTAAGCAAGGAACCATGTACACACCACCCGACACCGTAGATGAATTTCCCTTTTTGCTCTATGACCCACTTGATTGGCCCTTAAACAACCGAATTGTTTTTTTCATTGCTTGGGGTTTAAAAAAAGGTTTTCTTAGCACTGGCTTTCTCGGTTTGTTCTATAAAAGTTTTTTTTTATTTTTTGTCATGTCAAGGGTGTATAGATCCTGAGTTTTAGTTTATAGCAAAACAAAAATTTTTTTATATAGTCACTGACAAACTCAAAACCAAATATTCTCAAAAAACATTGTAAATAATACTTATCTTAGTCTTACTCTCACGAAAATAAAGTATTTCGAAAACTTTTTTTTCTTCATATAAATATAAATTTAAATTTCTTATAAATTTTTAAAATAAATTTCCTATGATTCCTCAATAACGCATCTAAAAAAGGCGAGGGGGACCAAAAATGCAATTTAGGGGAAAAAACTTTAACGTTTCTTACGGGACACAACGCAACATCATTTTCTTATCGTAATATTTGGCTTTGCTAAACAAAAGTCCTTTAAAGCTTTTTTCTTCTAAAAAAATTTAATTTTTTAAACTACCCAACAGAGAATAACGAATTTTCATTACTTTTTCCCAAATTTTAAGCGTAAAAACTGCCAAAAAAAAACAAACTTACAATCTCTCTTATAAGTTTGACCCAACTGATATTTTAGATAAAATGGGATATCATGTTTTTTGTTATCCCTTCAGAAAGCAAGCTTTCTTTAAAAGCCACACTTTTTAAAAAAATTTTCTTCTTCTCACTCACGAGCCTCGGGGGAGACGACCGTTTGTTAAAAAAAAAAAGTACATGAGCTAATCGCTGGAAAAAATTCTTCAAATTAAGCAAAAAATTACTTATTAAATCTTTTTTTTATTTCTATAGTAAACACATTGCCATTTTGCCATTTTGTAAAAATAAATAACTCACTTAAAATAAAAAACAAAGTACAGGGGAAACCCCCGCTTAACGATCACCTAAAATGACCAATTAGTAAGTGTATTTAGAAAGTGTTTTTGTAGTGATGTTTGGGGTCTGAAATGACAATCTACTTCACAAATTTTCCTTAGGGGAAAAAATTTCGGTCAGACTGGCCCCGAATGGAATAAAAAATTTCTTTAAAACCGGGTTCCACATATTATACAATGTTAAAAATTAAGCAATTTAAAGGTCATTAAAGTTGTTATTATGTAAAAATACAAAAAATTTTAAACCTACCATAATCTAAGAAAGCAATTGAATACACTTACCTTAAATTTTGGTTTGTTTATGTAGCTTGACGTGAGGGGAGAAGCGGGGTGGGGCTCCAAGGGCGTCAGTGACGTGGTTTAAAGGGACGAATGATGGGCTGGAAAGGGCGTAGTGAGGGGCTGTATGAGGTGCTGGTGAGGTGCTGTTTGGGGGGTTTTAGTGAGGTGCGTAGTGGGGCTTAGTGAGGTGCGTAGGGGGGTTGAGTAGGTGCTGTAGTGAGGGGCTTAGGAGGTCGTGGGGGGGGGCTGTAGTGGGTCTGTAGGGGGGGGGGGGGCGTAGTGAGGTGCGTAGTAGGTGCGTATTGGGGGGCTGTAGTGGGGGGCGTAGAGGTTTTTTTGGGGGGGCTGTAATGGGGTTTTCTGTTGAGTGCTGTATGGGGGGGCTGTATTGGGGGCGAGTGAGGGGCTGTAGTGAGGGGCTTAGTAGGGGCTGGGGGGGTGCGTGCGAGGGGCTGTATTGGGGTCTGTGTAGGGGCGTATTTAGGGGATGTAGTGGGTGTGTAGTGAGTGCGGGTTGGAGGTCGTGGGGGGGGCTGTGTGAGGTGCTGTAGTGGGGGCTGTAATGGGGTTTCTGTAGTGAGTCTGTAGTGGGGCTGTAGTGAGGGGTGAGTGAGGGGCTTTGTGAGGGCTTTAGTGAGGGGCTGTAGTGGGGTGCTGTGCGAGGGCTGTATGAGGTGCTGAGTGGGGGCTGTGTGAGGGGATGTGTGAGGTGCGAGTGGGTGCGTAGTGGGGTCAGTGGGGGCTTTAGTGGGGTTTGCTGTAGTGGGGGGCTGTATGAGGGGCTGTAGGGGGGTGCTGTAGGGGGGGGCTGTAGTGAGTGCTGTAGGAGGTGCTGTAGTGGGGCGTTGAGGGCGTAGTGAGGGCTTATGAGAGGTGAGTGAGGTCGTAGTGAGGTGCTGTAGTGAGGTGCGTAGTGGGTGCTGTGTGAGGTGCTGTAGTAGGGCTGTAGAGAGGTGCGTAGTGAGGGGCTGTAGTGAGGTGCTGTAGGGGAAGGCTGTTTGAGGTGCTGTAGTGAGGTGCTGTTTTGAAGGCTTAGTGGGGTCGTAGTGAGGGGCGAGTGGGGGGCGTAGTGGGTCAAAAGAGGGTTTTTAGTGAGGTGCGTAGTGGGGGGCGTATGAGGGGCTGAGTGAGGGCTGTAGTAGAGGCTTGAGGTGCTGTATAGAGGCTGTATGAGGTGCGTATGGAGGCTGTGTGAGGGTGTAGAAGGAAGTGAGGTGCTGATGAGGGGCGTAGTGAGGTGCCGTAGTGAGAGGTGTAGTGGGGGCTGTAGTGAGAGGCTGTAGGAGGTGTTTTATGAGGTCCCTGTATGGGGTCGTAGGAGAGGCTGTAGTGATGTGCGTAGTGAGAGGCGTAGTGAGGTCTTAGGAGGTCTGTAGTGGGGGGGCTGAGTGAGAGGCTGTAGTGAGGTGCTGAATAGGGGCGTAGGAGGGCTGTAGTGAGGTGCTGTATGAGTGTGGTGAGGGCTGTAGGAGGGCGTGTGAGGGGGGCTGGAGTTTTGCAAATGATCTAAAACAAAAAAATTAATTGACTACTTTTTAAATTTGCCGGAAAACATTTTCCAATTCAAAAAAGAGAAAGCGTGAAATTCAACCAAGAAATGTTGGTTCTGCCCTTACCAGAGAACATTCTTGATACTCCATCTCCACTTTAAAAATTTTAATATCATAGTCGTATTTAAAAAATTTTTATACAGTAAAAAAAAAAAGAAATGATTAATATAAACGATACGAACGCTGGTAACAATATTGGGGAAAAGAAGAGACTTCTGAGTACCCCGACAAGGACATTTAACGGACATAAAAAGACTTTCATTTTTTTTTTATTAATTAAAAAGGGTAAAAAAATAACAGCAATCCATTTAAAAGTAGCCACTGGAAACATTTTCTTAAGTCCAGACCTTTTTTTAAGCAGCTAGAAAAGGTTTATCTTTAATTTTATATTTCCTTGACTTTTCAAAAAACCGGGGGGGGGCCCCCCCACCCTAATGGGGGGGGGGAGGAAGGGGATGGGGTGGGGCGGGGGGCACCCTTGGCCCACATTCAAAGAGGCGTGGAATGTCAAAAAACCCGACTGTGCTACTCTGAGGAAACTTCGCCCCCTCCTTTAGTTGTTCCCCGTGGATTGTTTACATATATATATAAAAAAAATATATATATATATATATTATATTTAAAAATTATAATTTTATATATTTAAATTATATATTTAAGGAAGACCACTCTATGGCTGACTGGGACCCTATCCTCAGAGAAGACAATAAACTACCTCGGGGGAAAACCCAAAGGTTTTCTCCCCCAAATTTTTTTTAATATTTTCTTCTCTACCAAGGCAGGGCTGCCCATAAAAGAAAAAAATCATCATTCACTCCAACACTGTTTGCCAGAGGCATGCCTGCATTACAGTTATAAAAGTGAAACATTAACACCCCTCCTTCAGAGTGCCGGCACTATACTTCCCATCTCCTGGAATCAAGCCCGGCCTGCCAGTTTCCCCTTCATAAATGTTACCATGCTTACCCCTCCAACAGCATGTCAATTCCTAAAAAACCACTTGTCTCTGTTTGCTCTTAACATGCTCATGACGATTGCTAGAAGTCCAAGCCCCTCGCAAAAAAAAACCTCCTTTACCCTTCCCTACAACATTTCCTAGACCAGAGTCTACCCCGTCTTCCCTCCACTACAGATTTAAACACTCTCGAAGTTATTCTATTTCTTTCCATCCTCTCTACATACTCCAAACCTCTCAATACCCTTCCTCAGCCCTCTGGATAATATTTTTTGGTAATCCCACACCTCCTCCTAATCTCCAAGCTACAGATACTCTGCATTATATTCACAACACACATTGCCCCCAGATATGATACTCCACTGCCTCCAGCCTTCTCCTTGTTGCAACATTCACAACCCATGCTTCACACCCATGTAAGAGCATTGGTATAACTATACTCTTATACATTCCCCTCTTTGCTTTCACGGATAACCTATTAAAAGTTTGTGTGTGTGTGGTAATAGGTATTGGTGGTGGGGGTAGTTGTATGGTTGGTGCTGGGATCAACAGGATCTATCCCAGCAGCTACCCGAACAGCGAGCTCGAGTTAGAGCCCAGGCGGCGGCTCTGTGGGTGGAGGTTGGCTAACAAGTGAACAGTGTGGCAAGGGCGTCTACAACAAACCCCAATATGCAGACAACCTTCTATATTTACAGAGGCAGGCGAGGTGAGTCCAGCGGCCTTGTCCCCTCCAAAGTGCTCCAGTGTAGAAGAGTAAAATTCCTAATACCTTGCATAAAACAATTAACAACCACAAAACTAAGAAAACCTTAGCAGAATTACATATTCATTTTTGGAGAGCTATTATCTCGTGAATAATAATGCGATATCGAGGACTGCCGAAACGCCTTGTAAGTTTTATCTCAACTTTATGGTTTGTTCAATGTTAAGAATGAAGATTATAATAATTCTCTCTCAACCTGAAAGCAGAATTTTAACATTTTATTTTGCATGCTGGTGTGCTACTCTGCCATGTGCACTAATACAGTCTTGTGTATCCACCAGTTGGCGGGAAGACTGGGTTGCAGCAGCAGCCTGAGGCGTTGAAGGAATTGTTTTCTGACGATGTAATTGTGATGGCGTCGGGGGGTCACTCAACGTCAACACCACCTGTCCTTCCATTGTCTCCACGGACACGCTGAACAAGACAACAGGAACTCGAGGATCTCCTCAACATGCGAACTTTCCCAGGATCCTTCTCAGTCTGCATCTCGCGAGAACGAGGACTCTAAGGACCACCTTCCATTCCTTACAAAGATGGAAGCCTTGCAGATGCTGAGGAATCGGCCACGCCCCAAGAGAGGTCTTTCAGCGGAGTGTTGTCAGAAAGTGTGTTTCCGTTTTAGAGCTAGTCGGCTACTGCTACTGATTACACTGGTCAACAATTTTTGAAAGTTGTATGCTTCTTAAATGAATTAGTTAATTCTTATGTATTTTCATGTCTGGAATCCATGCTTATTGGCTATAGGTTTAAAGATATGATGACAAATAATATTTGATTATTTTATTACAACGTACGATATGTCATTATGTTTTAAACTCTAATCCGTACCCACTCTCTGCCTTTTTGCTTGACGCTTTTAGTGGACTGAAGAAACATCTCTTGCCAAAAGTCCCGCAATAGTCTGCAAGCATTTTTGTGACCCATTTGGGCCCCGGTACCATTTTTCCATGGTTGAAATATCTTGGTGAAACCTTTCCCATATTTGTCACTAACTGCCCCATCAAGACTTAAAAAGAACATGGGATGTAACATGTCAACTTTAAAATCCACTTTTTGGACTCACATTTAGACTTTTTTTCCAGCTGTCTACCTGGAGGGCATAACCCCGGGGGGGCATTCTGGGAGAATGCCCTCCAGGTAGACAGCTCGCTGGGAAAAAGCCTAAATGCGAGTCCAAAAAGTGGATTTTAAGTGACATGTTCATCCCATGTTCTTGTAAGTCTTGATGAGGTTTTCCATCAATTCTTCATAGTTGCCATCCCTTCTTGTTTCCGAAAAAATCTCCGCACTAACTTGAATGCTTCCCAGGACCAATTGAAGACTCCCTCTTTTTATCGTAGTGTCGTTCAGTGAGGGGAATTTTGATAGTAAATACTTGAATCCCTGCCCGGGATTTGTCCATAGCTTTCCCCAAAGTTTTTCATGAGCACCAGTTTTGTGTGTGGTGGTAGTAAAATTTTGTTTGGTTCAGTGAGAGGTGAATGTTGAACATTTTCACCCCAGGCTCCAATGACTGACGAGGTGGCCAGTCTCTCCTGATGTAGTGGGAACCTCTTGCACGGCTGTCCCATTCACAAGAAAGAAAGCAGTACTTAGTGCATCCACCCAGCATGCCCATCACAAGAGCAACAACCTTTAAGTCACCACAGAGCTATCATTGATGTTCACATATTCCATGCATTGCAACATATGCTTTATATTCTCATTAGTTTTTTTTCAATGGGGTGTTTAAACCCTTAGGAACTGATGGTTTACCATTGCCGTTTTTGCAGCAAGACAACTTTCAAGACTCGTTTTTGATGAATTTATGAACAGTCTCCAGTGTGTTTGGCTAAGAAAATCCCCCTACCTTTCACCTCAAAATATAAACTTTCACAGCACAACCACCTTCTATGACTGCTGGAACAATAATGAAGGCCAGTCAGACTGTGATGGGGTAGAAACACACTGCCACAAGCCTTTTGGAACCTGTTGTCACACGTAGCTGTATTTTGAAAAGTAGAGATAAAAACAATTTTAAAAACCATGATATTTATTATCAGTGACTAAAATTAGTTGGAAATTGCTACTCTGATCTAGGAATCATTTTGGTTGTTGACCAGTGTTATACTAGGGTAGAGCCTATCATGTATGACTCGCGGGAAAAACAGTAGGAAGATTGAGCCTCCCTCAATCCGCATGCTGAATAACCTCAAACAGTAAATACAGTAATGCTACTTAGATTACAAAAATGCAGATTCTCATCAGAAAGATCCCAAAACTGTTTTTATGTTTTCACAAAATAAAGAAAACTTGTTCAGATCACATCCCGACAAGATAAACTTAAGTAATCAGTCCCCGAATAAGATTTTTACACGAAAGGAAAAACATTCATAGAACTTTAAAACATCCATGAAAAAAATTTACTCTGTGTAAAACATGTGCTGCGCTAAAAGGAATTTGCATAGATGATCCAAAGATACCAAGAACAGTATAAAAACTTCTATAAAAATAAAGAAAGTTATATATGTTCATTGTTTTCCTAACCTCAGTTTGTTACCTCGATCAAGGAATTTTAATATTTAACGGGCTGGACGGTAAGCCAGCGGGAAAGGGGGCGGTCAGATGACCAAAGTTCTATTGGCAGTTCATCATATGACCAAAACCGCGTCAGGGAAACGCTTGTCCTGCATCCTGACGAATGTTGCCTCACCTCGTGCAATGCAAAAATACATTTTTGAACTTCCTGAGTGACAGGATCCAAAAATCATTTACTCGATCTGTCGACAGAACGAATACCAAGAGTAAAACATCTGTGAAAGCTTCCCAGTATACGGGGGTAATTTTTTGGGATCCAGTTATGATGGTGAAACTATTTTTGAAAATTTATGATGACAGTTGTGATGGTGATGATGATGATAATAATTTGGCGATGATGATAACGGTGATGATTGTGTCATTAACCCTCCCCTCAAACATCTCCTTGCCAACCTCAACAGAACACATGACCTTTACACAAGGCACAGATCACTTTTTGATGTTCCTCGTGTCCATCTCACGCTATGCAAAAACTCAATGCACATAAAAGGCCCTAAAATCTGGAATTCATTACCTGTGAAATATAAAAGAAACACTGTCTGTTTATAAATTCAAGTCTCTTCTCAAAAATCACCCACAACTAAATAAATACTGAATAATTGTATCTCATAAATTGTATCACATATTTTGTATCTCATTATTGTATCTCATAAATGTCAAACCTGTGACCAACAAACTTGTTCTATTAACTTCATTACTAACAGAATCCCTTCTAGTGATTACACGCAACACAGTATGACCATTGACCGTTTTGTAATACTCATTTGTACTAAATTTGTTATCTGTTTTACAATAATTTTTGCACCACTGAATATATCATTGCTTAGTTAATCTTAAGTTAATTTTAAGCCTGCCCGTAATGCTGTGCATTCAAGTGGCTTTGCATGCTGCATTTAACTGTATTCTTTTGTACTTCTCTGTATCATGTTCAAATTAATAAATAACTAAATAAATAAATAAATAAATAATAATAATAGTGGTTATGCTGCAGTTTCTTATCTAGTTTTCGACATTGCTTTCTAATACTTTAATTCAAATAACAAGAAATAACAAAAGAAAATTTGCTATATAGTAACAAACTTCTTTACGAATGCCAGTGATACTTGAGTCCTGGAGATGGGAAGTAAATTGCCTGCATTCTTTAAGATGGGTGAGCATATTTAGTTTTGAATTGTGTATCGGCGCTCCTCTGGCAAGACAGTAATGGAGAGAGTGATGGTGAACCAGAGATGGTCCAGGGGCGATGTAGTGTTGGAAAGGGGAGCTCTGTTTGCAAGAAAGATATCAGGTTTGCCTTGGAGATTACAGGTGTTGGAATGATGGGCCTAGATGATGCAAGTGTTTGTGGGTTATATATTTGAGTAAATGTATGCTTAGCTGGTTGTTGGTAGAATGGTGAAAGGCCTGGTGGGCTAGCATTTATGTCTGCTAAGAGTAGGTGGGAGTGTTGGTGTGGTTGAAGACTAAAGAAAGGTCGTGTATGTTGAGAGCAGAGTTGGGTGAAAAAGATGAATGGGCCCAGGTGAGTGTGTATTCTAACTGCGAGGAGTGGTGATGGGTGAATGAAGTGGGAGAAATTCGTGTTTTTATATTGAGTTAAGAAGAATGGCAACTCCATCATGGGGTCGTAGGGAGATTTTTGTGAGGTTTTATCCAGAGTGAACTCTTGGGATACTTAGAGGTAGGTGCTGTTGAGCAAGACAACATCTGTATTAATATTGTTAGACAAACCTACAATATGTTTAAGTAAAAAGTCACAAATGCAAGTAATGAGACATTTAAATTGCGGCAACGTTTCGCCCTTCAGGAGCTTTATCAAGC